ACACCACAAGAGACTTTAGATGGCTCTTCGAAGTTGGCGAGTCAAAACGTCAAACTCGAGGCATCTTCGGATCTTGTCGCCTTACAGATACCGAACGTACCTGTAAGTATAGTTACAGTGTGTGGCACCAGGGTGGTCGATGCTAGCTGGGTCTCTGCCAAGATTCTCGGTACGACCGGCACGATTCCAATCCAGGTCCAACCTCATGGGACATGTCGACCTGGGGCACCGTATCAAAACTGGCATGCCCTTTTCACGCGGGACAACGCCCCTCGTGCGGACTTCCGCCTCTTCGACGAGTCTGGTATGGCAACCATTCACAAGCCTCGTCGCCAAATTGAACAGTATAAACGCTGTTTGGGCTTCCACGCCACCCGTGGTTGCTCCCGCGCTCCAGCCTGCTGGAACTGCGGCTCCAATATGCACTCCGAAACAGAGTGCAAGGCCCACACACGCTGTCGCAACTGTGGGGGACCCCACCGATCGGATTCTCGGGACTACAAAGTCAGACCCAGAAAGTCTGGGCCGGTAACAAAAGAGCAGCTCGCATGGATACGCCACCTCGAGCAAGGGAACTTCGCGGAGGCGGCTCGAGCTAGGGCTGCAGCCAAAAAGGCCGAAGAGGCGATCGTCGCCGCGGCGAAGGATGTGTCAATGGCCGAGGCAACAGGTTTCGGAGTGCTGGGACCTGAAGAAGAAGTTTGAGGACACAGCAACCTCGACGATGTCCCCTTCTGGGGCATCTACTAACAATTAGCAGGATACCGGCTGGATCAAAGGTGCCTGCTAACTCATCTACTGCTCTTAGCGGAGATTAAGTAAATTTGTCATTTGGAAGGTGTGACAGACGACGGAATGTGTGAGGAGCACATTGACTGGGTCCATTATGGAGGAATCTTCTGTTCTTCTGGAGTTGTTTTGATTTTCTTGATTTTTCGTTTCAGTTTAATCAGCTGCACTTTTGGTAGCAATTCACGAGGTTGGAACGAGTTAGTCTTTAGGAAAGATTACAGGGAACCCTGCCGGCTCCGCCTGTCCTTGACCCAATGTGGAAAACATAGCTTTAGCTTAGGACTAAATAAACAAAACAAAACAACCTTAAGGTCTCGTGTTAGCCAGCTCAGTTTACATAAACTACCCGACGTGCCGATACCTTTAGCTCAGGACTTTAATAAAAAAACAACAACACTTAATAGAAGTAACGTGACCTCGCACCCACTAATGTATCGCTCCTAGTCTCATCCACACGCCAATATGAAACTACTAATACAGGGTAAATAAAATCACCAGACGCCTTACACTTTTTAACTCCTAGGCAAACAACAACCACAACCCTAACTCCACTATGTTAAATTGTAGGGATGATTGTGTTTAACCAACCCTTCGAATAATTTAACACATTATGTATTTAGAACCGCAGGATTTTCTATTCCTAGCGCATATCTTTATTTAGATATGAAGAGATCAAGTCAATCATCCTCAGCGTATATAGTTCTAGAATTCCGGGAGCGATAGGAATAAGTTTGTTTTTACTTAGTTATTTCTTGCTTCAATTATATGCACCTCTCGCCTGTCACAGATCAGGCTCCCAGTTACCTGAAACAATGTGACTATAAAAAAATGTCTTGCAGATCCAACTTGAAAGTTGTTTCTTTCAACGGTCAAGAGATCGCCAACTCAAGTGATTTACGAATGAGTGATTGCCCTCCTAATAGGGAAAACAGGTATTTTGATTAGATATGGTAAACCAAGACGTGAAGCCAGTAGAGCTACTCCAAAAGTCCAGACAGAAAATTTGATGTGATGTTTTATTGCACAACTTGAGTCTTACTGTCATGTAGAGACATGATTCATTCATGTGTTGATATTGTTCAAACAATCATGACTATATTTCAACGTCATGTATAGATACGATTCCTCGTGTGTACTTGTTGTATCAACCATAAATTTGTCTCAGTGATAGGAGAATATTACAGAGTAAGTAATTATTCTGATGAATCTAGATCTAGAGGAACGTAATCTGGTTGCTTCGCCCAAGGTGTATGAACTGGAGCGAATCATGTATAATAAAATATATAGAAATCTATCTCAATCACAATCATCATCTTAATTCATGTCACCATCAATAGCTGCGAAAGACAGTTGAATCATTTCCTTACAGAATACGAGCTTGAGAGGCTGAAGAGTTAATTTGTGGCAGCTTTACCTTTTTTAAAGAATAACTAAAAATCGTAAAATAAACTCAATTGAGGCTGTAACAAGTTTGATCGTGATTCCAGCCACTCTGAGTCTAGCTATTTGGTAATCTCTGGTGTAGACTGAGTAGCCTGAACACTTACTCCACTTGAAAAGAAAAAGCCTCAGACCAAAATTTGGCGCTGAGAAAAGTAAAAGGAGTGTGGAGGTATGTCTAGAAAACTCAGGGTTTTGGAGATGCTCCACTGAGTGGGTTTTCAAGGACAAGGGTTGACTTGGAGTAAAGAAAAGGCCGCCATAACTTCATGGTGGTACTTACAAATGGAATCCGAGGCATGAGTGCTATTGTATTTAGAGTCATCTTTTCTATACCTCTTCTCTGGTATTGTATAAACAGGGCTCGTCCCTCACTGTCCATAAGAGCATAGTTAAAAATTGTAAAATTGGAATAAAAAAAATGTAGCTAGTATCTTACATGTAGATTCTAGGAGTCCTCTATAGTCATTGACTCAGTTAGGACTTTAATAAAAATCTAATCTTATCTAATCCAATCTGGTATTAGATTACGAATGCTAGATGAGAAAAACACTTTGCATCTCGTCAAGTACAGGATTTGAACCTGTGCGACCGAAGTCATATGATATCGTCATTTCGAGTCATACCCATTAACCACTCTGGCAACTTGACTGTGCAAATGGAAGCTAAAGAGTGAATTTAATGTTACAACAATTCACTCACATGGAAATGTAATCGCAAGACATCCTTGAATAAGGTTCTAGTATAATTTTCTCGAGGAAACAACCACAGCTTTATATTATATTTATCAATTCGCATCAGATTTTAATTGCGTTTGCAGCTTTCTAGCATGACATAATTTTCGAGAAAAATTATAGGAAAGATGACTCTAAATACAATAGCACTCATGCCTCGGATTCCATTTGTAAGTACCACCATGAAGTTATGGCGGCCTTTTCTTTACTCCAAGTCAACCCTTGTCCTTGAAAACCCACTCAGTGGAGCATCTCCAAAACCCTGAGTTTTCTAGACATACCTCCACACTCCTTTTACTTTTCTCAGCGCCAAATTTTGGTCTGAGGCTTTTTCTTTTCAAGTGGAGTAAGTGCCCCGGTTACTAAAACTGTACTGGGGAAAACCACAAGATTGGTGCTTAGTGTGTATGTTTAACTACTCTTAAATTCAGAAACAATGATACTCCAAATTTCACTTCGAAACAACACCATGAGGCATGTTTACTTACACAAGGTCAACCCTTCTTCTCGAGTGCCCATCAATCAGACGATTCAAAACCTTTAGTTATCGAAGCATGCCTTTGTGTTAGAACTATTAGGAAGTAGAGTCGTAGTGATAGGGATGTGTGGAGGCATATACGGTATGTAGCGAATTTATAATGACACGGTGAGTACAAAAGAGTATATAGAATTTAAATACCGAAGGTGAGGACAGCTTTCACCCAAGCAAGTAGTGGACTTGGCAGCAGTTGTCGACACATTGTCATTCATGCATAATAGCAATGCGAGATATGAGGCCGAGTAATGCAGGAGTCGAGCCAGAAACTTCATTTAATAAGTGGAAAATGTGTCTAATCTGTTCAGTATCTGCTTGGAAATTTGCACTGCATAATGTACCACTACACTGTCTAAAAAGTGATATGTTTATAGTGTTGTCGGTGCTCTCGCAATTGAAGTTGGGCCCTGCACAGTATTCTTTAACGTAAGATGCTCCTGAACACTTAATATTTCATCCATCTCTAACATCTTACGATACATCAAACTTACTGTACATCGTTTCTATCCAAATTTTTTACCCAATAGATTTGTACACCACTTTCTATTTTCTCTGTCTAATATTAGTATTATAGTGATCTTGTATTCTGAAGCTTGTTAAGGCATGGGTCATAGTCGATGTAAACTGTAGTCATTCAAATAAGTATAAATGGGCTTACCTGTAGAATTGGTGGAGCTTAGTTCAGACATAATCTTCCTGGGATTGAGAGATTGATAGATTTGATTTTATTATAGTCCTATCTGAGTGTATGAATATGTAGGCCTTCTAGAATCTCCATTAAAGAAACTAACTATATTTGGTTTATTTAACCATGATAACTTTGAATTATTTTCTCGTAGACAGTGAGGAAGAGAGATTGATAAAGATAGGAGTCTTAGATCATTACTTGTTTAGCAAATATCTGAATTGGTAAACTTGACTGAAATCAACCTGTAGTGAATAATTAAGACCCTGGTTTGCAAAGAATACCGCTCATGAGCCGTATCTCTTCGTGTCGCTGAAATAGAATCGCACCATCGAATAGAGTTTCAATTCAGGATGAGTCATGCAAGTGACATATCAAATTTATATACACTGGTGTAAGAATAGTTATCGGGCAAGGCTTTTCCATTTCAAGTAATCAGTGAGCAATAGATCGAGAATCATACAATACAAATAAGATATCTGAAGACTAATTTAGATATGAGAATAATCCCGCACCGGACAAACCATCTAATCCGATAAGCTTGGGAATCGCATTAGTTCACGTGATTAAACTGATGTCTGTGATTTGTCACTGTAAAGTATCTCTAGCGATTGGTTACATGGGGGCATCACTCCAATTACTTGGCAAGAGCTCCATTATTTCACTCTACATAGATAAACTAGCAGTATCTGTCCCATCTTGTTTGACACGTATGGCTTCATATGTCTATTGGTGTTTCACTGATGGAGTTTCGACTATAGCTTGATATTGGTTTCACATAATAAGCTAGTACGATTACTTGTTCGGTGTACTTATGATGATGGCAACAAACAAATATACAGATTCATCCAACCATAAAGAAGGAAACAATTCAGATACAGCATTATCGGGAAGCTGGGGCGTTCCTGCAGTCTCACACGCGGTGACAGGATTTCTACGACGATTTGCAACAGAAGCAAATGCAAAGTCCGATAAGTCTATGACTCCTGTTGAAAGCTATTATGGTGCCAGTGATGGCGCTAGCAGTCCTCGAATTCGAAAAGCATCGCCCTTCCAGCCGCCGCCCTTGTACCAAATCACACTCCACGGCTACCACCCGACCACTCAAGACTCAGCAAAATTGCTGTCGAAATCTTTGGCTGAAGAAATCCGACTTCTCATACCCGCGAGACTCCAGCTCTGCGAAGAATGGAATCTGGTCTACAGTCTGGAGGAAGACGGCGTTAGCTTGGGTACTCTTTACAAAAAATGTAGTACACTCTGCGGGCGTCGAAATGGGTTTGTACTTGTCGTGAGGGACGGTAAGGGTGATGTAGCTCTCTCCAGCCCTAGATCACTTTTCCTTCTAGACTGACACGTCGCAGCTGTTTGGCGCCTATCTCAACGAAGCACCACGTGTTGAGCCGCACTTCTTTGGTAACGGAGAATGCTTCCTCTGGCGTTCGTCTTTCGTACCCTGTTTGACACCTAAAAGATCGCAAAGTCATACGAAATCCAACGACACATCAGGTCAGCTACTTTCTCCCGAAATCCCTGAGCAAACCATTTCAAATTCGTACAAAAATTCTCAACATATCAGGTTTAAGGCATTTCCCTATTCAGGCATAAATGACTATCTGATGCTGTGCGATACCGGATATCTCAGTTTTGGAGGCGGAGATGGACGATATGGACTTTGGCTCGATGATACCTTTGAACAGGGAATTTCCAGTAACTGCCTTACGTTTGGAAATGAACCTCTGAGTGATGAGGGTGAGAAATTCGACGTTATGGGAGTAGAGGTCTGGTGCATAGGGCACCTCCCCTGAATTTTTTTAATCTAGTCAACAAGTATAGTAAGATCTTTAATGTTATGGGAGGCTGCTTTTTAGAAAATTAAGGACATGAACGATACCCGGGAGTCATTTACAGTATCTTACGGCCGGAAGAAGGGCAAGAGTAATGGAGTTTGATTAAATATATTTATTGCAATATATATCTCAAAATCATGAATACATTTCAATGAGCTTTTCGAACTCATTTCTAACTAGTTTTTTCGGACCGTAGACGAAGCTAAAATATCCCTAACAAGTGATTGCCCCAGAAATGAGGCACGAAATACCCTGGCGACGAAATGATGTCGATACAATAATGAAGCTTCAACAAGTAAGAAGGGCCGTTTTTATCAGCGGTAAGAAACAAACGGCAGTTTGTACACATATACAGGGGTCTTTTCGAACTACTTTGTCAAAGCGCCGATTACATGAATTCGACAAACTTCTATCTTTTATGATAACGCAGTGGATAAAGACTTCCAACCATCAATATTCCAGGGCGCAATATTTATTGCTGTGTGCGCATCTCCTAATTTCCCACTTGCAGCAAACAACCTGGACAGTTGAAATGCATCAGAATTATCTTGGGGTGATTGAGATTTTAATGCCGTCTTCAAGGCCATTGTAGCTGTATATTTATTATATTTAAAGTCAGATAGACGGCTCCAACCTATGGGTTGGTAAGGGTATAAAAAGACGTCTTTTTGAGCCTCGATGATAGCTTCTTTTTCACGGCGACTGTTGGATACAGATGCCATCCCCCATAAAACTTCTTCTACTTGATACTTCTCAATAGCACTAAGATTAGAGGTGGTACGAATTTCATAAAGACTAGCAGTGACTGCTTCGAGGCTCTCTTTATCATTTTCGACGAGAGCAATGACACCTAATAATAGAACCGACTGTACATGATCGGGTTTGCCCTCGATGCTGTTAAATAAATAATTTCTGGCACTATTTCTAGACTCTTCATTGTTCATAGCCCATAAAACTTGTGCTAAAAGACACACTGTATCTGTACTGTCGCCTGACTCTTCTAAAATTGAGAGAAAATATTTTAGGGCGGTAGAAGGGGCTCCTAAAAAGTGATGGGAAAGGCCAAGAGTTAAGTGGGCTGATAGTCTACATTTTCTTTGAGAGTCACTGGACAGCTTATTGTCTATTGATTCATTGCTTAGCTCAAGTGCGGTTTCCCCAGTTTCAATGGCTTCTTCATACAAGCCTGTAGATAATTGACAACGAGAAAGGTCAGCTTTTGCGAGTGAAAATCGTAAAAGCGATTCAGGTGACTCGGTGAGTTCATAATCAACGTCGACAGCATTGCAGATACTTTCGAGAATTTCAAGTGCATATGCTTTTTCATTTAATCGTTCTAAGAAAATAGCATTAAGATGACGGAAAACTAAGTCATCAGGAGCCATCGACTCTATTTGTCTAAGGGTTAAAAGGAGCTGCACGAAACTAGAGGCTTTAAGTGCTGTATTTGATGATAATAGCCGATTAAATGATGACTTCAGATGTTGTCGTTTGGTAATGAGAGATGAAGAGCCTGAAATCTCTATGGCATGTGTGAAAAGCAGATGAGCTTCGTTCTCATCTCCAGTTAGAATCAAAGCGAGAATGCCCTGTCCGACCCAAGCATGCGCATAATCTGGATCACTGGATTGTGCTCGTGTGAAGGCTTCATTTGCTAGCAGATAATCATTTTGAAGCATATAGAGTGTTCCTAGGTTTGTCCAGGACTGTGCACTTCGTTCGTTTAAATACAAACTTCGGATAAACGAATGCTGAGAAATTTTTGCATTTATCTCGCTGGTGGCAACACCGAGTGCATTCCAAAATTCAGCATTACTGGCTTCAAGTTCAATTGATCGCTTAAAGCATTGGACAGAAGCCTTTAAAAATCGAGTAGAACGTTTTTTGATTCTACAACAAAGACAAACATGGGCTCGATACTCCGCCCACCCTAGATTATAGTAGGCGACGGCTTGTGCATGTGTATCGTGGGCTGATGCGTAAATAGCTCGTTTGTAGGCAAGAATTGATGCGTGCAAGCATTTAGTCAGATTTAGACCATTAGTTTCATCGCAAGAATAAAGTCCTGTTGCGAAAGCTACGTCTAGTCCTACACCGTCGATATCTGAAAATAAATCATAAGCTTCGTTATGGTCGTCAGTTTGTAAGAGTTCCTTAACACTATTACTAGGAAACTCGCTCAGCCGGCCTTGTATTTGGGAAAAAATACAACATGCGTCTCCAGCTGCTTTCCAAAGATTAAATGTATTTGGCCTAGTTTTTGCTAGGGTAAGCGCCGCATTAATAGTCTCAAACGCCCGTTTTATGGCGCATCCAAATAGACCCTTTTCGATACAATCATGTGCACTTTCAACAAGCACTTGTATCAAAGCAGTTAAAACTCCATATTCGCCTGGTCTTTCTGAGAGAACGCTTTGATATCCACTTATAGCATCATCAAAATCTCCAAGTTCACGCTTAACATTTGCTAGCATATGCTTGGCGAACCAAGTCTCACCAATAATATGTTTGTCAATTTTACTCTCAAGATCTATGGCAAATTTGAGTGCCTTGGTGGCAGCAATATACTTACCGCAATTGTAATAGCTTTCACCTAGCCCAACCCAAGAATGATAATCTGTAGGTGTAATCCTGAGAGCCGACTGGAATGAAACTATACTTTTAGCGTACTCTTGTTTGTTCAATTCGGCCACTGCCAAGGCTGCAAACGGCCAGCTAGTGCCTTTTTTTTTTGAGCCGGGAGCTAGTTTTATTTTTCCTGACTCTATGACTCGTCGTGAGACTATCTCAACGATCTCCCAGTCTCTCTCTTCGGCAAGTATTTTCGCGAGTCTTTCGGCAGCTTCGACCTCTGACGATGAAAGTTCAAAAGCCTTTTGAAAACATTTTCTAGATCTCTTATTGTCATTATTGTAGTCAGCATAGAAGATCCCCAGCGATGTGTAAGCTGGTGCAAAACTTATATTTGCTTTAAGCGCAGCTAAAAAATAAGCATAAGCGCCATTTCTATCCTTCCGGCTAGCAAACGATGCGTCAATGTTCCAAATACAGATTCCAATACGGTATTTGGTTTGTGCAATTAAATCCCGGTGATGAGTATCTTTTCCTTCTATCTCTAACAAGCATTCACTAAGTTCTGATTTACCTGCCTGAAAATTACCGTGAAGAGCTTTTACCCAGGCGGCTTCTACTCTAACTCGAATATTACTTGGATCTTTTTGAAGAGCTCGCTCAAAAAATACCACTGCTGCAGTAAAATTTTGCTCTTCTTCGTATATAAGGCCAATTCCAATTAATGCAGGCGTTGAAGTAGGATCTTTTTCTAATAATTTCTGAAATAAAGTCTTTGCTTCAGGATGATTTTTCGGTGATTGGTGGTATACAAGAGCGGTTCCAAGAAGGGCTGTAATGTGATTGATAGAGTTTTCGAACGTTATTCCAGTCTTATTTGACTCTTCTTTGACTAGTTTCTGGCCGTTTCTTAGTAACTCCACAGCGCTTTCGTATTCTTCAAGGTGTTGGTAGTACTCTCCCATTATTCGATGGGCCAAAATTGATCTCGAAGCATCAAGCATTCCCTCAGTCATTAAAAGTAAACGATCAGCGTCACCCATGTATTGATCAAGGGAGACTCCACCGTCCACGGTTTCATTGTCTTCACTGTCTGATGATTGCTCTTTTGCCGATGGATTTTCTGGCACCTGTTGCTGTAGGGGCACAAAAGGATGTGGAGATAGCTCAGAACTCATGAAGCCTCTCAGAACTTGGGCAAGTCCAACAGCAGGAAAGAAAGCATAATATTCTCGCAAAACATTGCCGTCAAAGTCTTGGAATTTACTAAAATCTTGCCATTCCAGATATATATCCCATGCTAGCTTAAATGGATGCTTTATAATGACGATACCCGCAGCCATCTCTATAATTTTAGCGCGTTTCTCTGTTTTAAGGGGTCCATTTGGAAGAGTTATCATCAAATCGAGCATCCTTTGAATTAATTTTTCTTCGTATTGACGTCGAACATCATCATCATTACTCCAGTCTATTATTTTTGAGTATATGAGCTCTAAATCGCTTGCTGCTAATATTTCCTTGGTGACTTCAGCTGTAACCTGGCTGATTTTGGCTCCGAGCCTAGTTCGACGCTCGCCAATCAACTTATTAATACACTCTTTTTCATGGAATTCGGTTATCTGAGCCATACTTTGATATGTGAGAGATGGTTGAGGGAGACTTCCTTCCAGAAAGTCGTATATTGGACTTGTGGGGAGTAGAATTTCTTGCGCTTTTTTGAACTGAATATTGGTGCATTTATTTCTGGCAAATGCAATAAATTTATCCACAACATTTTGACATTTATTTTTATTGTCTGCGGCTTGAAATATTTCTGCAAGGTGCATCGTCGCCTTCTGGTATTTATCTATTGTCTCAGCATCCTTCTTCTCGTATATTTGAATCAGACCTTGCCAGCCTTGAGGACTCGTTCTGTCGATGTCTATTGCTGCCTGGTATGCCTTTTCTGCATCTTCTAGTTGGTCAAGCTTACAGTGTGCAAAACCAACGAATATAAATCTTGAATAGATCATTAGAATTGAATTGAAAGCAGTCTCAACGGTCTTTTACGTACGCCAAGTAAGTTCGAGGATTCGTTGCAAGCAGTCCCTGTGCTTTTTGTATGGCTACATCGAATTCTTCTGATTTGATAGCTAAGTCAATAGCCTTCATGGTCGCCTTTGAACCCATCATGAATTATCATCGAATCACCAATGCATCTCTGGTAAAAGTGATGGTGATTATTGTAGCTCCAACATAAGAATGTGTTTTGACCGGGGTGCGGGTCGATTTAGCTCTAGGCTCTGCAACAAGTATGATCTCAGCATCACATCCCTCCTAAGCGCCCAACAACGATTATTAAAGCACATGCTGAGTATATAATCCGCAACAATTACCATTCCACATAATCTTCTATGACACTATTGACAACTAGTGAGATAATGGTTGAGAAAGGAGCCTCATTTAGCCATCAAAGATATATCCCCAACAATATAAGTTTTCTTGGTTTGCTAAAAAATTCCTAGCCATAGATATAAAGTCAATCCGCCGCCATTGAGGCTGCAGCTCTATCTCTAAAAATAAAAATGTCTCAATTGAGATTGGTAATAGAGAATGGCCACTTTCGAGATCCCTGTGGCAGGGAAGTAACTCTTCGAGGAATTAATTTGGCTGGCGACGCCAAGTATCCAAGTACTCCGGATCTCCCCTCTCACATTTGTGGTGACTTTTTCGATGGCGACAAAGTGGATTTCCACCGTCGACCATTCGTTGTTGAGGACGCTCATATTCATTTTTCTCGGTTGAAGCTTTGGGGATACAATACAATTAGATACATTTTTACTTGGGAAGCTATTGAAGCAGCTGGACCAGGAGTATATGACGAGAAGTGGATACAGCATACAATTGAAGTTCTGAGGCTCGCAAAAGTATATGGATTCTATATTTTTATGGATCCTCATCAGGATGTCGTACGTCTATCCAGAATTGAAAGAATCTGTCTACTGATCCGTAAAATCTAGTGGTCTAGATTCTCAGGAGGGTCCGGGGCACCTATGTGGACGCTCTATGCCTGTGGACTTAATCCAAAGAACTTTGCCATAACTGAAGCAGCTTTAGTACATAACACGTTTGTAGAACCTAAAAATTTCCCAAAAATGATTTGGTCGACCAATTACACACGGCTAGCTTGTCAGACGATGTTCACACTTTTTTTTGCTGGGCGTGACTTTGCACCTAAGTGTATCATCAATGAAAAAAATATTCAAGACTTCCTTCAAGATCACTTCATTGGGGCTGTTTCTCACTTAGCAAAAAGGGTTCATGAAGCTGAAGACTTAGAAGATACGGTTGTTGTAGGATGGGAGAGTATTAATGAACCAAACCGTGGCCTCATAGGCTGGCCAGATATAACAATTATTCCCCGGGAGCAAAAGCTACAGAAGGGCACTTCACCAACAGTCTGGCAAGCTATGCTGACAGGGTCGGGGAAAAAATGTGAAATAGACGTCTGGGATTTTGGTGGGATGGGACCAAAGAAGATAGGTCAAACTCTAGTTGATCCCAAAGGAGAGAGTGCGTGGCTTCCAGCTGACTATGATGATTCTCGGTATGGTTATAAGCGCGACACTGGGTGGAAACTAGGAATGTGTATATGGGCACTTCATGGAGTATGGGATACAAAAACAAATACGGTCCTCCTTAAGGATTATTTCCACAGGAATCCTCACTCAAAAAAAATTATTGAGTATGAAGATTTCACAAATAGTTACTTCATGGAATATTATAGGAAACATAGAGATGCCATTCGGGCTTATCACAAAAACTCGATTTTATTGTGCCAGCCTCCAGTTTTTGAAATACCACCTAAAATTAAAGGAACAAAAGATGATGACCCGAATATGGTTTATGCTGCTCATTATTATGATGGCATTACATTAATGACAAAAAAATGGAATCGCCACTGGAATGTAGACGTTCTAGGCGTTCTACGAGGAAGATATTTCCACCCTGCTCTTGCAATTAAACTTGGGGAGTCAGCTATCCGGAACTGCTTCAAGAGTCAGCTCACAGCTATCAAGAAAGAGGGCTTAGATTACATGGGTAACCATCCATGTATTCTAACGGAATTCGGTATTCCCTACGACATGGACTGTCAATATGCTTATAGAACTGGTGACTTCTCAAGTCAATCAGGCGCGTTAGATGCGAATCATTTCGCAATCGAAGGTAGTACTCTTGCTGGATATACTATTTGGCTGTATATGTGTGAGGTATGATTGAAACCTTTTTTTCAAAAATCAGACTAATATGATTAAGAATAAACACCATTTAGGCGATCAGTGGAACGGTGAAGATTTATCAATATTTTCTCTTGATGATCCAATATTGCCGCATTCACCGTTTCTATCTTCGAAAACAGTTCTTTCAATAGCTGAGTCAGACCAAAATCCAGAGTCTATTAACAAAGAATTGGATCAGTCTACTGTGAATCCTGCCCCATTGAAAGGCACTCTTTTAGCCCCCCCAATTCCTCCGAAAGTGACGCGAATAGCTGAAAATTCCAACGTACATGGCTACAGAGCTGCAGAGGCATATGTAAGACCCTCACCAATAGTTACTTGCGGAAAAATTATTCATTATGGCTTTGATCTAAAAAATTGTGTCTTCACTTTTGGACTCATTGGTCACGAATCATGCGATAATTCACCAACTGAGATATATTTACCCGAATTTCATTTTCCAAAAGACAATTTCAAAGTCGAGATTTCAGGCGGAAAATGGGAAATTTGCCATGAGGATTCCGCAGGCTGTATCATTCAGCGGCTTAAATGGTGGAATCCTGAAGGCGAGCACATTGTTAGGGTTTACGGAATACAACATGTACAAAGGAAAAATTCGATCATCGAAAATGAAGGATATCTAGAACAATGCCAGCAGAGCAAATGTATTCTCATGTAAATATAATTTTGATTTCAAGTTAGTAATCACCCAGTTTTTTTGTATGACAAGTGCATTACGACGTTTATTGTAATAAAATTCTTACATAACAGGGCACGACACTTAGTATCTATTGATAAATATTTAACAACCCGATGCTCAAAAATTCTATTAAGATGTGAAACTGTAGATATAACTTTAAAAGCACTTCATATTCATAGACCCAGCAGAGACTCTAATTCAATTGTATTTTGAATTTGATTTCATAGTCCTGATTTGGCCCCCTGCGGACCCGTGCAGGTGTCTATCATACTTTCTGATTTACATGGGAGGAAACCTTTTGGTGAAAATCCCCCAAACCTTCCTTTTATTATCTCAGTTTTTCTGATGAATCCTTCAGGAAGTGCAGTTAAAAAATAGCTCCACCTGCGAAGCAATCAAATCATCGTTGATAACCTCGAGAATGGCTTAACCCGTTCTTTTCTCTCAGCAGCATTTCGACCGCGTTTTTCGCCTGGAATTGCTCTGTCTAATCATGATACAAGACTTTCTGAATACTCCTTTCGATATTGCCAGAATTATATGTCTAAGATGCGTAGAACTGATGTTTGGCTTTTCTACACGCTTCTCCTCTTCCATTTGACCATTGAGGTCAGGAATTAGTCATCCGATTTACTGAATACATTATGATTAAAATAAAATCATGTTATTAGAGTTGCGCGATTGGTAGTCATATGGACAGATTAGTCTGTGAACTCCCAATACTTTTCTTCTTTATAAATACGAATTGAGCCCTAGTTCGATCAGGCAGGAGCCTACTCAACAATCTGCCCTAGAAATTCAGGCTGAACAACATCTGAGTAACAATTCTTGATGCTATCACACTTCACGAGGGATTCTGGCTATAGGAAAGGAGCAGATTAGGGCTTAGGCCGTTGAGGGTAAAATTTTATCATGTAATGTTATCTGTGTGGTACAGATGCGACATTGGGCGTTACTTTACATATATATGAAGGGCTCGGCTTGACGTACCACTGGACCTTTGATAATAAAAATATCCAAAAATAGTCCTTTTTTTTAATTTTTTGCTTCAGATTTTAATTGCGTATGCAGCTATCTAGCTATGACACAATATCAAAGAAAATTACAGAATAGATAATTCAACGTAAGGGAAGTGCACTAATGCCTCAGATTTCATTTGCAAGTACCACTGCGAAGTTACGGTGGCTTTTTCTTCACCCAGGGTCAACCCTCATCCGTGAATACCCACCCAGAGGAACGTCTCAAAAACCCTGAGTTATCCAGACATGCCCCCGTCATTCATCAACTTTTCTCCGCGCGAAATGTAATCTGAGATGTCTCCTTCCCAAATGAAGTAGGTGCCCAGGCTACTCAAACTATACCGGAGAACACCACCATGAGGCGGTCCACAACACCTTCCGTCGTTTGCTTGTTTTTATAGTGTCAGCTGCACTCTCGCAACAGAAGTCTTGGCGCGCACGAAGCCCAATTCGAAAAACTCCTTGACAAAATTCGAAATTTCATGCCCTTTGAGGTTATATCCTTCCGTTGCATCATCTTGTCAACTTATCCTGCTCCCTCTCACGTCCATCCCAAAGAACTGTTCCCCAGATTTGTTCGCCACGCTTTGCTTCCTCCGTCGAGTATAAATATCGGCGTGGGCGTATATTTGGTGACCGGCTGAGACCAGAGAAGGTCGAAGAGAGGTGTGGTCATTGAGATCGGGATGTACTAGGTCGTACTTGTAGACTTAATGAGGCTTAGGTAGGAATCGATTTCGTTGGGAGTGAAAGATTGATATTGTGGAGTAATTTGAATCATTGCCTCGTGGGGCAACTTCTTTGATATTGCGAAATTTGAATGAACTTGGCTCTGGGAGAATATTTCACTCTCAGGTTCGTAGAGGACACCGCGTACGGGTGTTCATTCTTGCCCTCCAATGACAAGGTATGTCTGGTTGGTGTAAGACGCAGCCGAGTTAGTTAAGGTCAATCTTAGAAGGTGCGTCAATAACGCTTCTTATGCAGATGAGTCGCGTGGAGAAGGTTTGTACTACATATAGTCTCTTAAGGGTATCAAAAGTACAATTGTCAATATGACTGGGGTTAGATCCCTGTAAATCCTGCCTTAATTGGTATAGTCTTCATGCAGGCCCATGTCTAGTTCGTCGACTAGTTTTGCAAGCAGGGGAGCTATCCAATGATATTCCGTAAAAGTCAAAATCAATGGGGACGGCTTTCAGCACCAAAACAAATGTACAATGGTCCTGATTTAAAATTAAAATTTAAAAAAATCAATTGATATTATCTACAAATACACATCTACTTCAAAAATAATTGCTCTGTACTACGAAAGTGTACATCGAAGCCCTCAATATAGCTCGCAAGTAAAATAAAAGTGTACTACATGTTTTGTATCATTCTGCTCCATCCCAATACTTTGTGAACCCTCCATTTTCCTTTGTCACCGCTATACATCTTTCGTGCATGTTAACCACACTTAACGGAAGCTTGTTCCGAGCAATGCATCTGCTGTAACCTATTTTATTGATGGCATTAGAAATTAAACCCTCACTGCATCCCCAGTGGCTGAAATGTCCCATTGCTAGTTCCAAATAGCACATTTACCGATTTTCAGGAGATTCCCGAACGAAAGCCTCAAGCTCATCAACTTGTTCCGCGCTTAATTTAGATAACCACCTTTTGCAAGGCTTAGGATTCTCTGTCTCTCCAGCACACGTAAGTTGCAGTTGCCTTCTTGTGAAGCTAAGTTCGTCGGATATATGTTGTAATGTCAAGCCAAGTCTTCTTGATGTTCTTCTTTCAATACATTGATCGCGAGTTAGATGCCTGCAAACTTAAGTTTCTGAAGCAGAATTTTCGAGAGATATTGTTCGCTAGAATAGAGGATGAATTGATAGTGATGTTTAGAGCTAGAGGCTGTCTTGTCTTGTCTTGTTTATTTACGTGCTAGGCAAAGTGATTCCCGTTGCACTCCTACTGGAGTTTAAGCACAGGTGGGGCCGGGCTGGATCAGTTTAACTACCATTAAGTACATCTACCTCGTCCCACCTAAATGACCGGATCACCTCAGGCTTTACCCATGTGTTAAATCATGTCAAGCCCAAGCGTCCAAAGAACCCCCTTTTGACGCGCCGAAGCGCAAATTCCTCCTCAGCCTAGGCCACCACACGCCCGAGCCCTTGACACCTTCGCCATCTGTAACTTTTCCCTTCGCTTCATTCCCAGCTTTGGCTCATCTCAGCATCTCCTCATCTCATCCAGAGGTCGTTTTCTTCACTGGAGGCCTCATCCAGTCGCTCACTAAGGCCTCCTCCGTTTGTATCCCCTTTTAGTTCCTTCAAACAGCATCCCTCTGTCCTTCAGCCGATATCGTCATTCCAGAAACTTTATAGAATATCCACCCCTCCGGCCTTGACCCATCACTGTCGTACCCCTAGCCGTGGAGGTCGAAAACGCAACTGAGAGCTCAAGACCGAGGCACAAGCCTTTGTCGAATGCTCAAGTTAGTGTGCCAGCGAAATGTCGTACGTATTTCGTCGGTGGCGATTCGTCATAGGTCGAGTTGTTGGTGCCCTTGGCCGAATTGAGGACGCATTTAAGGCCGGTATTTCGACCGTACCTTCATAGCGAATGGCAGTTACGTAGGGTCGGACATCCTCTTGCTTCTTTGTTGGAGATTTGGCTTTTGGAGATATGGGATTGCTTAGGTAGGTGGTGAGATGATTCTCGAGAGGGCCGCGAGATGAGTTTGGCTTGGAGTGATTTTCCAGAGAAATAGAAAATAAGACCATGAAGGAGTCGGTTCGTATCTGGAGTGTAGATGGTTGATTTCGTTGAGTTGTGCAGTCGTGACATCTCTGCAAGTCGGATTTTCGACCAAAAATGAGCCAATACCACTCCCCCCGATAGCCAACTCGACGAAAACTCTCAAATTCAGCCTTTGTCGTGACTGAATCTCGGCTCTGGGAGAAAATTTCGCTCCCAGCTTCGTAGAATCCACCACTGACAGGCATTCAGCCTTCGTCCTCCAGAGGTAGAGGTTGTGTTGGTTGGGCAGTCAAGAGTGTCGTTGAGAATGTGTTTTCGAAGCGATTGTTAGATGAACACGATTAGACCGTATTTCGTGGCGAGCGGGTTGATAAAGAGAGACAGTCTAGCCCATTGCGAGCTAGCCAAACTGCATCTACAGGGCTAATCCCTTAAACAGCCCAGTTTCAAGCCTAACATTTTGTAACCTAGAGACATTGTAGTTTTAGTCTGCATCACTCCTGTGAATACAACACTATCTCTTCTCGTTCTATCTAACCTTCTTCCACTGTGCTAATTCCCTTGTCTTCTCTACAGTCATACAGCTATAGAAGAGCCGGCAAAGATGAATTCTTCACCTTCCAGTGATGCCGGTGTAATCGCTCAGTATGCTCTGCATATCTGGGATAGCCAAGAAGAATCGCATCCGAATCGAACTCGAAAACAAACACATGCGTATCTCCATTTCACGACTTCTCAATCATACAGCACTCACCATTATCTTCTGAGTCCTCAACCCATCTCTAACCACACATCATCTTGCCTCGCCGACCGATAAAGGCGTCACCCCAATTGCAAACAGGAGCTTGCCTCAATAATTACCGGCCATCACTCACTACAAATTTACGACGCTACGTATACCCGCAAGGAGGAAATTAAGTCATAATATATAAAGTTTGGGTCATGGTTTACGGGGGACTGTTGCTCTAATGGGACATATATCTTGAGGGAGAACAGGTCTCTAAAGACCATGCTGGGACTGTCATTTTCGAGGAGTTTTCAACTTTGAATTTTTTGTGGGCACCAAGATTAAGATTTCGGCTAAATAGCCAGGAGGGCTTCTTTTGTCGATGAGTCAACAGCACTCCCCAGCGCCCTGGATGATACAAAAGGAGTTAGGCTAAGCAACCATAAAGCAATTACGCTCTGTCTAGACTTTTCTGACCTTTCAGCACGGCCTTCGGGAAGGAGTTGGAAGGAGGCTAGAAAGGCAGAGGGTGAATTTCGCGAGCTACCCACAAGTCTGCAGCGCCCAGCTAGCCGGCCTCTTCGAACGCATCGGAAGGATCACTATGTCTTCGGATTTAGTCCTAATGTCGGTATTAGAAGAGCCCCGCACCCAGTGGTTTTTGCGATTTTTCCCGGTTGCCATACACCCGCAAATGGCCATCGTTTCGTTGGCTGGAGAGGGGAGATAATGAAGGACTAAAAGCTCCTCTAAGTGTATGATTGAATGAGGACTTGTGAGGGTGTTACTGCTTGAGGGGAGCTGTATGGGAGGCATAGGAGGGGATATACTACTGGTATAGGTATCCTTGGCCTGTAGGCAGAGAGGACCTGCACGTCCTGTATAGTCATAAACCTTAGAAAGGACATTAATGAATAAAAAAAATGTATATAAAAATGGTGACCCTGAATCACGAGGTATGAAAATCGTAGAGAGGCAGCCTTAGGAACGTAAGATTGATTGGCTATGGAAGGAGAAATAGGAGTAACTACAGCGAGCTCTATATACATGAGGTGTGGGTGGGGGGGCAAGACTGAACTCCTGTACGCGGTGTCCTCTACGAACCTGAGAGCGAAATATTCTCCCAGAGCCAAGTTCATTCAAATTTCGCAATATCAAAGAAGTTGCCCCACGAGGCAATGATTCAAATTACTCCACAATATCAATCTTTCACTCCCAACGAAATCGATTCCTACCTAAGCCTCATCAAGTCTACAAGTACGACCTAGTACATCCTCATTCCAATGACCACACCTCTCGTCGACTTTCTCCGGCCTCAGCTGGTCACCAAATACATGCCCACGACGATATTTATACCCGACGGAGGAAGCAAAGCGTGGAGCACAAATCTGGGGAATAGTTCTTTGGGATGGACGTGAGAGGGAGCAGGATAAGTTTGCAAGATAATGCAGAAGAGGGATACGTTTTCGACGGGCGTAAAATTTCGAATTTTGGCAAAAGTTTTACGAATTGAGCTTTGTGCGCGCCAAGACTTCTGTTGCGAGAGTGCAGCTGACACTATAAAAATAAGCAAACGATGGAAGGTGTTGTGGACCGCCTCATGGTGGTGTTCTCCGGTATAGTTTGAGTAGCCTGGGCACTACTCCACTTGGGAAAGAGACATTCAAGATCTCATTTCGCGTGGAGATAAGCTGAAAGATGATGGAGGCATGTCTGGATAACTCAGGGTTTTCGAGATGTTCCCCTGAGTGGGTATTCACGGATGAAGGTTGACTTGGGGTGAAGAAGAAGCTACCACAACTTCGCAGTGGTACTTGCAAATGAAATCCGAGGCATGAGTGCTCTTCCTGTAAATTCAGTCATCTATTATACACTTCTCTGATATTGTGTCATAGCTAGATAGCTGCATACGCAATTAAAATCTGATGCAAAAAAAAGGTTCAATCTAACAGAATATAATCACACTTCATATCATCCATTATATGATATTTTAAATTGTTGGGATGCGCATTTAGCATCGCCTTCATAGATCACCATTGTCAGTATGAGTTCACATTTAATACCTACAGCACCTATTTGGCCACAGTGATACGCACTCAGTATCCATCGGGCCATCACCTAGTGTGAGCGCGCCATTTTGGTGACCCACCATTGCACATGAGCCCGTGTAACTCCACCGACGGACAGCAGAGTCATAATTGCCATACACCTCACAGCATGTCGGGCTTATTTAAAAGTATCGGTACGTCGGGTTGTTTATGTAGACTGAGCTGTCGAACATGAGACCTTATGGTTGTGTAGTGAGCTAGCACGAGGTTAAATAATAATAAACAAAATAAATATACACCCTATAGCGCATAACCACAACGGTCTGCGCTCCGGTTCCATTGTTTTTGGTGGCCATTGTCGTTTTTTGCGACGCCTCAAGACCGCTGGATTTACCTACACCAGCACAAACACTCATCATGTTGTAGCGCGGAAAGCGGAACTGTGAGAGGAGAGAATAGAAGATATAAAAATAAGATACAAGATGTCAAATTGGTGATGGAGGCAGCGTGGAGTACCGTGAAGTTTTCTGGCAAAATTTATGTTCTTCGTTATTTAATTATATCGTTACAATTATTAGTTTCACAAGTCTATTTAGTCCCTGCCATATATCCAGGGCCTCCACTGGGGCTAAGCGAGTGAGTGTTTGTTGTCCTAATGAGTCTATAACTATGTAAGGACATGTAGGTCCTATTTGCCCACAGGTCGGGAGTATCTATGCCTCCTTCATGACTTCTTTCCAGCGGTAATACACCCACAGGTCTTCATTCGAGTTTACATTAAAAGGAGCCGTTATCCCGTCGTTATCTCCCCTCTCCAGCCAACGATACGAAGGCCATTTGCGGGTGTGTAGCTGCAGGGAAAAGTCTCAAAAACCACTGACTGCGGGGCTCTCCTATGACGAAGAGGCCGGCCAGCCGGGCGCAGCAGACCTGTGTATACCTAAGAGCGTCTCTCAGCCTTCCTAGCCTCTTCCTTACTCTTTCCTTGATTCATGCCGCAGGACAAACCGAAGGTCGTGAAAGGATGTCAGAAAAGTCTTGGTCGAGAGTAACTGTCGTGAAGTAGCCTAGAATAGCATCCAAAATTTGTTACAGACGTGGAATTGTTGAGTAACTCATGTATTTTAGAGGCTCTCCTGGCTAGTAGATTCGAAATTAAAGGTTATAAGGAACGATATTTTTGACGATTAAAAATCTGCTTTTCTTGAGGGCGGAAGGGTCTTTTACTTTGCTTTTTTGGCTTTTTATTTGCCTGCCGGTGGGTAGCACACGTTGTGATATAACGAGGGCTTCCATGACTACCGTTGTAGCATTTGGCACCGCATTATCTTTCCTCATTCCCAGTAGTAATGTCGTCGTCTTGGTCGCCTTGTGTGTTATCGGAAGCGTATATTTGACGGGGTAGAGATAACTAGACTCAAAGTTGAAAAAATGTTACTCAATCTCGGCTCTGCAGACTCTACAGTGAGGGCTAGAGGTTCTTAGGGGACACCACTGACAGGTATTGAGCTTCGTCCCCCACTGGGGCTTAGTAAGAAGCGAAGTCTAGACTATTCAAAATTCTGCTGCGGTCTAAAACACTCTTAGGGCATCAGGTAGCCTCTGACACATCTAGTACTAGTTTTTTCCTAACCAAGTAAATAATGAATGACAATCTGAGCTCTAAACTTGTACAATTTGGTTTTACACAACGTGAAATATTCTATTCTCCTAACTCCCTCTCAGAGGTGTGTTTCACATCTTCGCGCTTCAATAGAGATAACAAATTTTCGCACAAACCCCAACAATCGCAAGCTAAATGAATCTTAACGAAACCTCAGGATCAAGCCCTAGTCTAATTTCATTCGAGGCGCCACTTCTAAAAGAAACAGCATGAATGGTCTTGATTCCGGACGCGAATCTATTTCTGAATTAACCCCTGTGGTCAACACACAGCCAGATGGCAATGATACCAGCATATTATCTCGCATACAGCAGGCTCTCGAAATCGTGCACGGTCCATACTCAACCAGAGATTCTAGAAGAGAGGCTTCGGAATTTTTGGACCAGATCAAATCACATAACGAGGCACCATGCCATGGGTTTACCTTAGCGTCCGATAAGACTCAACAGCCCATCGTCCGCCACTTCTCTCTATCACTCATTGAGCATGCAATAAGATACAGATGGTTAGAATATTCACAAGCAGAATCTAAGACATTGCGGGACTGGGTGATCAATCTTGCTCAGAATATTCAGCATGATGATCAGACATATTTACGGAGTAAAATTGCCCAATTATGGATCGAAGTTGCCATGAGAAGTTGGGGCACCACTTGGATGGATTTAGATGAAATACTGTTTAGTTTTTGGGACTCAGCTAGCCTGGTACACAAAGAGTTTGTTCTCTCTACACTCGAATCTCTTTCAGAAGAGGCTTTCACGAAAGAGGAAGCCACTTGTGTTGTGCGTGGCGATATGTTACAAAAGTGTTGTGTCGAAATATTCACGCCTGAAATCGCTCTCATTGAAGCTTTTTCCAGTCGAGGAAGGCGGACTGTCGTAAGGTTCCGTGACGAAGGCTGGCTCATACGAATTGGTGAATTTCTCGAACATATTTTGGAGGGCACTCTCTATCAAGATCCACTTGCTCTAAGATGCTTGATGAAGTGCCTATCTATTTACAAGTCACTTATGCCGTGGGCTTTATCTAAAGCTTTGGCTTGCTCCTCATGTGTCCATTACCTGATCAAAACTCTCGCCACACCCAATATCAAAATTCAAATAGTGAGTCTAAAAGCTTTATACAATATGACTTGAACTCAAGGTTTTAGGCATCTATCGAAGCACTTCATAGCTGTTTCAACCGCACACAGTTTAGTGATGAGGATTTCTTGACATTGGTCTGCCCAATACTAACAAGTCAGAATGTTGATCTACTCCGTAAACTTTTTGGATGGTCTGCTGTAGATCCTCGAGATATTGATGACGAAAAATATCTCTTTGCCAAAAAATTATCCGAAGTAAGTTGACAACCTTCATTCTTTGTTAGCAAGATTGATTAAGGTATAGATGATATCAAATATTGGTAATCTAGTTCAGCAAAAGTTTAGAATACTTCCGGAAGAATGCGATCTACCCAACTTGTTCAACCTTCTTCTCTCTATAACTCAAAGTCAAAGTTTCTTCATTTCGATACCCATACTACATACATGGACTCGATTATTACGTTCAGACCATATCAGTGATATACAGACTTTTGATTCAGTTATAGGCCCCTTGCTTGAGCTCGCAAGTTCAAGGCTGATTCGATACGATATTATGCCAGAAAACTCCGAAGACCCATCTATGATATTTCTTCTGGAAGATGTTGATACTGTAGCAGAGCGGCATGCATTTCTCGGAAATTATCGACGATATAATATTCAGATAATTGAACTTATTGTCCGCCAAAAGCAATCTGAGGCGATATATCATCTTTTTAGAAAGGTTGACCAGTCAGTTCAGCAATTGTTTGAAGCTCAAGCTCCATTTTGTGGTAGGCCGCTCTTCAATCCAATCTCTACCACTAAATAACTGGATAAAGTTGAGACGTATTCCAAAAATTCCTATCCAGCTTTACAACTTGACGCTCAGTTCACTATTATAGAGGCAACACTAAGAGCTTATATGAAATTGGTAGTATCCAACAGCTCAAAGTTCCAACAAGGCGTAACCTTAAACAGTTAAAAGCTAGCCTAGCTACACAGCTAACTGATTACAGGAGCAATCTCGATCAAACATGGAAGACTTTATGGAAGCATGGTGCGAACGCTTAATTACCATGAATTTTATGGTAGAACTCCTTTTTTAACTTTACGCTTTTGACTAACAAATTTATGGGACCCAATTATTCGGAAACGAGTCCTACAACTCGCTGTAGCATTTTCAACTTCTGTTCTCAACAAGAAGATTAGTTTCATGCTAAAAGTTCTTGAACAAATTCTAATGAATAAAGCCGTTGAACATCAAGGAAACGCTAAGTACACGGAAGCCGTGAAAGAAATGCAAACAGATAGCCTATACGAGCTACAGAGACTAGCTATTAATATGCCAGATTACTTGCTCGTATACTCCTCCTCCAAAATTTACTTTCAGAAAGCTAATCAGCTTTAGGACGTCTACGAGCAACTTGAAGAAATTATTAACAAGACAATCGTATCGGAATCCATAGACTTCAAACGAGAAATTTCTTTTCGGACTTTCTTATTTACTATCATGTTGGTGCATTATTTTTGAGGTTAATAAATAGAGCTAATAAACGAAAAGTCATCGGAATACGAAACTAGCCCCTGAAATTCGCTATCAAAAGCTCAACACCTTTATCGATCCGATCAAAAATTCGTGGCAATGTCGCAGCTTACACCAAGCGCTGATCTCGTTTGATAGCTTTTGTGACTATGTTGGCTTGACCAGGGTGAAGAAATTCCTTAATGACAGGAGAGTTCACGAAATCAAAGACTGGGGCTTATATCAGCTGGATAGTGAAGGCCATGATATACAGCTGGAGTTAGACAAACGATTGAAGGTAAACCCACTCTTAGGTTTTTTGAAAGTCAATTCCCTAAATTCTCAAGGCTCTTCCGTTACGAGCCACAAAGACTTTCTTGCACTGTGGTACCGACAGGCTGAGCTCAGATGCCCTTGAGCTTAAATTTGCCTGCAAGCTATGGAAAGATATCACACCCATTATCCTTCCAAGCTTATTGAGCTTTTTGAGGTTTGTATTCTAGATATGTAGCTAGTAATATGCACTAACAATATAGATATGCTCACGCTATCCAGAACCCTAAAAATTGGATAGGTCTCTCATCCGATATGACTCCAGCAATTACACACATATTATCAGATCGGTTCTGGCAGGCTGGTATTTCTAGCGGTAGCAAAGAAGAATTTTATGCGCGCGTTTCCGATACTAAATCTACGCTAGAAGGTCTTGCTTCTACAGTTAGGGGCTCTATACGTATTATTCGAGAGGCTGCTTACGGTATACTTTACTGTATAAGCAAAGTCGATGACAATTTCTACAGCATGAGTGACCTTCCAGGACCGCTAGCAGTCTCATTATTTGAAGATGCGCATTTCTTATCTTCACATCAGCTTATAAACTTACTTCAGGTAGTTCGAGCTATGATTGATGAATGTCCAGCGGAACACAGAGAGAACTTTGTTCCTATAATCCTTTCTTCTTGCTTTACTCAAATAGATTTAAAGTGTACAACACAGTGGAAGAAGCTTACTCTTGAACAAAGTTCATCGACCGTTGGTGAAAACCTCACAGATGAAATGAAAGAAGAGAGTCTTCTCCGTCAGTTATTATACACCTCTGTTTCAATCATTGGCGCTTTTTTCGATCCGCAGCGGATAGGTGCAAATTTTGCTTCAATGGAAAATACTTCGCAGCTAATTAAGTATAGATGTTTCTAACGATGATCTTGATGCTAATTCCAATTCCTTGAACGAAATTACGAGTCACCCGAAGAGTGTCTCTTGGCCATCAATGCGAGATTTCTGTCTATCCTCAACGAAGATTATCGAACCAGTTCTAATACTCTTGTCACACGCGATTACGATACATGATACTCGGAGTTGTGGTATCGTGTTACGAATCTTTAGGTCTATCATACCAGAGTTTTCAAGGAGTAAACCTAGAGAAAAGGTAACTGACGATACAGGGTTTCTATCATCTATACGTGAGTTCATTAGTCGTGAAATTCTCATGGCCTGCATACAGTCTTTAAATGAACCTTACTTTGTGGAGATGCAAAAAGATTTAGCGCAATGCATTGTCTCAATTCTTGTCTGGTACTGTCAAGAAAGTACAACACCACGACAGATACTTCTCAGTATTCCTAATATTCAGGAATTGGCTGTTGACCGTTGCCTTCAGCAAATAAATCAACCTTCTACGCAACCTAGAACCCAGCGGGAACTGGTTCTAGAGCTTTTTAGTGAGATTAAAGGTGTGAGGATTAGCGAACAAGGTCGTATCAAATTTCTTGAAACTCCCATGACAAAAGGAAGGAGCAAATTGCAACAAGATTTCACAAGAGAGCAAGCTGGGCATGGTACAAGAATAGGAAGCCCTATACTCGAGGGATTGACAAGCATGTTCGAAGAAGGATAGACTACCACATCTTGCATACCTGGCTTATTTTAAGTTGCAAGCGTCATTGCTCACATCTTTCTACGACAAGGGTATAATTTAATTATTGAATGGTATCTCTCTTCACATATGGGTTCACTAAACCTTTTGTAATAGACTTATTAACTCTATCAATTACCTGCACGTATGTTTAAAGATTAGGGCAGTAATTATGAAAAGCAGCTCGTTGGACTCGAGATCCATGATTAAGAATTCTTGTAAATCATATGGCCTGGGAAATAAGCCAGCTATAAAGAAAGTACACTTAACGTACACTGCTATCAATTAAGCCTAGTAGTGTAGGATCTGATCAAATCGAATCAACTGAATCGGCTCAGATAGTGCTTTCAACCAACCGACTTTAAGCTTCCGATTTATGACAACTAAATAAGGCAGAAAAATAAATACCATTTGAAAAATATCAATACTTGGCCGTTATTTTTTTGATTTTTATGCCTGGTCATAGTCCACAGTCGCAACAAGTAAGTTTTTGAGGAGAATAATTAACAAAAAAACAACTTTAAATTATGCACCAATTCCAATGAAAGAAGTTATCTTAGATATAAATATATCTATTAGTTATATGGCTAATCAACGCTGTGACATGTTGGTTAATCCTGAACGGTATAGACACTAGTGACACACCTGACCTATCTCCACAGGAAGCCGCTTAGTCCTGGGCTCAAATTTCCGTGGAAACTCAGCGCGCTCAGGGATGCTTTTACCTTCAAAGTTGGTCTACATACCAAAGTTTCTTGGGCAGATTAAATGGAATGACTGAATGATACTCTACAAAGGAACTACTTTTGTTACGAAACTTTGCTCAGTTTAACACCTCACATGCGTCCAGACTGGATTATCTCTCTATACTTATCCCTTGTATTGAAATTCAGTTTTAGAGAAAGAGGGTTGCTATTGCTTTACTGATTTTTCAATTCCTACTTATATTAATTAGAAGCTTATGGCTATATTGGGATATCATTTCTGAGATGTATTCATAATTCAAGATTCCACTTGAACGAAATCATAATCTACATACTACTCGATCAACTCTGAAGTAACTTACTCTTTAAAAATAATCAAATTTTCTTTATACTGATGTACTACTACTTCATTTCAGAACGACGCTACTGATGATGTTTGTTTCATTGAGAACCCTTCATTCTTTTGTACTTTCTCCGATGGACAACTCAGTCTCTTCGATAGATTCCGATATTACTTTATACAAACATCTGCATGCAAAAGTGGTGCCAATTTAATTTCCTTACACCATTTGAAAAGCTGAAGGCAAGTGAGAGAAACCCCAACTGGTGAAGCAAATACCGACGGGTATGGGAGGTAGTTATTTTATTGAATAGGTTTGTATGAGGAGTGAATTGATTGTTGTTGTTGATACGAATGAAGTAGTGGGAGTGAAAAGACCCTTTGTGTATACAGGAATTCCTTCCACTGTTTCTCCTAATGAAAAGCTATGCTGAGCTGTAATAACCTATCGTTAGGATGAATGTTAAGGAGAATGACATAACAGTTTTCTTGTGAATATCTTGAGTATGACTCGTAAATGTCTATTTACGACAAGTACAAGGTTTATGACAGGTACCTTATAGGGGCGGCAAACCATCACGCATGACCAGTTTGAGGTATTGTCATCTGTACTTGGGTAAAGCAGCTAGGTCAGTAAGCTGCTGCCAAAGAGAATCATATATTCTTAATATTGTGATTCAGTTACCTCTCGCATTGCCTTCGTATTACTAGAGCCTTTGTTCAAAAATGAGCCAAGGAGTCTCGGTTAACGATTGAGTTGCAATGGCATAATTATGTGGAGCGAAAGCTAGTACGAAAGATGTGTACATGATGGAGCGATATCTTCATATCCAGATGAAAAGTAGCAAAGCAATGAAGCAATCAAATAAATATTATCAGAATCAGTATTCATATCATTCGAGTATCATCAATTACACGATAATGTTCAAATAAGTTTAAATATTAAAATATAATCCACAACTCCGTTCGTGGAAATTTTTGGTGAGAATGATCTGATGTATTAGAGAATGATTATTTTAGACAATTGATACAGGACTACTGGAAGTAAATTTGATAAAGTATTGGGTTAAAAATACGGAACGTGTATTACGACTGCTTCTCAGCAGGGGGACTATTCTCAACACCTGTCAGTGGTGTCCCCTACGAACCTCCAGATTTCACTGTAGAGTCTGTAGAGCCGAGATTGAGTAACAAAGTCCTCACTTTAACGAGGATTCCCCATTGCTTGCGCGGTCTGTATCGTCTTCATCTCTCAACACATTCCCCTATCACCATTATCATGAAGCTAACCACGACCAGATCAGATAGTAGGATCAGAGCCCTATTCATCACCAATCCTTGATCATGGAGGAGAAGTCATCCGATGAGTTTCCGGAGCGTACCAAGCACCCGATACGGAGATGGCGAATTGGTTCAAGTCGACCTCGACTGTTACAAAGAAGGGAGATATAGATGAATATACGCACCTCATGTGGTCCCGGTGTCTAGGCCTCGCCTGACTGTGGCTGTAGGGTTTTTAAGACTTTTTTCCGCGCACGCGATTACCATTGCTACCATTTTAATTTTTTTTGGATAGAAGGTTCCGTGGAAAAGACGGTTAAATTTCACCGGTTAACACTGAGCTGAATGGCTATTCATCACGGGTAATATATCAATGATCTTTCAAGAAACACGAGAGGCAAGGAGCACTGTACAATGTGTGACCTGGGTCCGGGAAGAACCCGATGTGCTAGATATTCTATGACTCAAGTAGTACGTCAAACTTATCACATTACCTCGTAGTCCCTCATTGGGAGTCCATCCCCACAATTCCCGCGAACTTTTACCCCAGCTCCTGTAAAGTCGGTGGGCTCGGCATCGAAATTTGCACCTCTGGATAGCCTCCGTGAATCATTATGATGGATTGAAACTTAAAATCGAATAATGCAGAAAATATTAAAATCTACGTACTCTGATCACTTGTATAACTTGTATAACTTGATAAGAGACACCGCACAGCAAATGTAGGGCGTAAATGAATCAGGATTGAGTTGATGTCCTACAGTGGTGATATGAGTTGGGTCTTAAAGAAGTCCCCATCCACCAAACTGTGTTCCAATTATCTGCTCTATTCTAAACGTGTCTCATTCCATCGTGTAACTGAGAAGTGCTCTGTCAATGACTTGAGTCATCAAAGAATGACTACTCCTCCACTTGACAGATCGTCTCAGCGACTCGTCGCTTACATTACTTGGTGAATAACAACTGACGCGTCAATCGTGCAGACAACATATTTTCAACGACACTCTTGGCTGCCTGCAATAACAACATTCAGAGTCTGACCAGCTGTCTGCCAGCAAAAACACATTTGGCTACCTCAGAAACCCGCTGTATATGCACCGCAGCGAAGAACACTCCTCAATCACGCGCAAGGCACGCGATTATCTACTGTTCAACCTTCTCTGATTTGCTCCTTGCCATGCCGCCCCAGTCCTCCGTAGAGGCTGGCTCTTGGCCCCCCTCCCACCCGTAAATTCGACGCGTCCTGACGTCGAAATGGTCCTCACAGGGCCACCTAACCACCACTGCAACAACACACAAGCAAATGCAGAACCGATCTGCGAGGCGAGATGCCAATACTCGCCCCCAAACCCCCCCGAGTCAATGGGTGCTTCCTTGACTAACTTCCTCGCAGATGAAGCGAGGGCGTTTAACATACGCTTTGCAGAGGCTGAGCGTATCGTCAGTGGGTACATTAACCTACTGGCGGCCACAACCGACAAACAGCTCCGACGAGCTGTCGAAAAGAATGGAGAGGCTTTACAGGCCATTATCACAAATATCCTGCGCGGAAACCCCCAGCCCCAATCCAGTGGGCCATCAGAGGCTTCCAGTAGCAGCAAGACGACAACCCTCCCTGCGTCGGCTACTAGGCCGGGAGGAAAGAATAGCGCGAGCACTTCACGACCAGTGCAAATACTCACGAGAGAAAGCAGCCAGATGAAAGGCAAAGAGCCGGCTTCGACAAAGCCTACTAGGCCAATCGACATCGGTTCTACACAAACCCCCATCGTTACTGAGGGGTCTTGGACTCAGGTAGTGAGGATAAAGACTAAGCCCGCACCACCAGCAGCGACAAAATCGCAACCAGCCAGCGAGCCTAAGTCAAAAGCGACAGGGCCCACACAAACTCCGAGGCCTACTGCCTCAGCTCCCAAGTCAGCTCGCCCAGACGAGCGTGTTTTCCTGCGGGTCAAGCCCGACCACCCATGGAGACGCATGTCTCTTCATAACATCAAAATGAGCCTCGCAAGCAAGCTGCACTTAGCTAACTCTGCAATTAAGCAGGTTACCATCGTCAACTCAGGGTTTGCGATACTAGCTGAAGGAGACGGAGCAAGAAACGCGCTCCTCTCAGGCGTCGTACTCCTGGATAGCACGGAAATGAAACTGGAAGCTGCTTCCAACTGGATCTCAGTGTTGGCGCCTAATGTACTAGATAGATTCTTCACTTTAGAAGGACCAACGCCAGTAACATCGGAGATGGTAATGAAGGAAGCGACCTTAAAGACATGCGTTAGACCGACCTCGGCTCGTGCCTTTGCGACAAGCATGGCTTGGCCGTCCACTGACTGGGTGTTGCATTTTGCAACCGGCAAGCCAAAGCTGGGAGAAAGACTTTTCGAAGAGAGCGGTCGCTTACACGAACTTCAGCGTAAAGCCAAAATTGCGCAATGCAACCGATGCTGGGGACACCACCCAACTAAGATCTGTTCACCAGCAGAGCGCTGCTCTCGCTGTGGATCGATTGAGCACAAGGCTACTGAGTGCAAACAGCTCGTCCCAAGGTGCATCAATTGCCATGGGCCACATGCCGCAACCGAGCCTAGCTGCATGGCCAGGCCGATGCGGGCCGGCGGAAAGACTGTGCAACGCACAAGAGACCAACTGTCGGTGAT